CACACATTGCTTATTTTGTACTTAGCACAGCACTTGGCACAGAGTAATCTCTCATGCGTTGTTATTGCTGTTAATACTAATCTATAAAATTACCTCTTGTCACGTCGATGGTATTTATGGCACACTGACCAGCGAATAATTGGCAATGCATATTCTGAAAGAGATTGTGAAATATAATGCCCTTAAAAGCTCTTTAAACCATCAAAATTAAAATGTCAGGTAAATTTTATCTCATGCCTTATGTATACATTCTCAACAGGGCAATATCACCCCCAAAGACGCAAAAATTGGTTCTTGGGGTGACAAAAAATTTAAATATTACTATGGTCTGTGGTATTCTGAAGAGCCACTGTATATTAACAGATATATGGTATAATCTGTGCTATTAAAATTTAATGAGAAGGGAGGCTATTAGGGAAAAAAATCTCTAAAAAGACTATTTGAAGGAAACAATAAAAAAAAGCTTGAGAAATATTGCCTTTTCTGGATTAAAGGGACAAAGAAAAACTAATGATGTTTTCATGAAAGATTTGAACAAATTTCCTGTAGCTTCAAAGTGTTTTATCCTGTTTTAGGAAAAAAAATATTTTTAATATTCTCCCCTAGGAAATGCAAGAATAAGTAACGTGGAATTTTATCACAGTGGTCAAGAAGGCTTCAGGGATAGCACAGACCCCAGATACGCTGTAACGTTTCTTAACCTAGGACAGGTTTGTACTCTGCTTTTAATTTTTGCATATATTCAAAATAAAATATTTTTATTTTTATTTAACTTAACTAAATAGTCACATCTGAGAAGGGCTAAAACTATAATATAATAAAACTTTTTTGGATATATTTCCTATTAACTTTTTTAGACTCTTAGTGGTATTTGATCCACCCATTTCATGCATTTATTTTAGGCCAGTAAAAACCATAAGAAAAGTAACAAGAGTTGAAGATCTATAATAGTGGCTCACATCCCCACTTTAATTTGCAATGACCAAAAATATTTTTCTAAGCAGGTTCTATTAAACAAAATAAG